GCTAGACTGACCTCCTGGGCCTGGTACCACGCAGGTGGCCGGGCAGAGGTGCCTCGGGGAGTGCGGTGGGGGTGAGGCCAGGGTGAGCGATGGGGCCGCACAGACTCAGGAGCCGGCTTTGCCTCCTTCAGTCCATCACCGAACCCCGAGAGCTTTTCATCTGCCATGGAGCCCTCCTCTGTGGCTCTCTCCCTCTCCAAGGCCCCCGCCCTAGTCCAGCCACCATCATCCCACTGGCCCCTCTGCCTGTACTCCTGCTCTGCTACAATCCAAACACCCCACGGCAGCCAGAGGGAAAAGGGAATTTTATCACGTCACTGCCTTGCTCAGAGCCCTCTGGGGTCTCCCCACCCTGGGTTACAAGGAATGGTGTGATCTGGCCCTGTCGACTACAAACCCACGCCCTCCCTCCCATTCACTCTGTTCCAGCCAAGCTGCCCTTCCTGGCGATACACAGGCCTCACTTGTTTCCACCTCAGGGCCTCTGCCTGTGCTGGTCCCTCCACCAAGGACACTGTTCCCTCAGATCTCGCATGTCGTGTTCCTCACGCTGCAGGCCCCTGTTCAAAGCTCACCTCCCCGGAGAGCGCTAAACAGTAACCCTTCTGTTTTATTCCCTTCCTTCATTTCTTTTATGGTGCCGACTGCTCTGGACAGCACCCTGCTTACTGGTTTGTCTGCGTGCTTATTGTCCGTCTCCCCCCTGAGAAGAATGGGGGAAGGGGTCATGCTTTCTCCTCCCCACTGTCCCCCTTGTGCTTGGTGAGCACATGTACTTAGAGAAGTTTGTTGACTGACTGATAGACTGGTTGGGGGCTGGGGGACACTCACGGCGGATGGCCCTCAGACGGGGGATGATGCTGGGGCTGGCGGGGGGACTGGCGCCATTGGATCCTTTCCGCTTGTCCAGAGTTGGAGAGGCCTGGACTGTGATCTTATGCTCAAAGCCTGCAAAAAGGAAGGGAGACTTTCTTCAGTAAACCGTTCCCCCGGGGAACCAAAGTCCCCTTTGCGGAAGTATAGAAGGAAGGGTAGAGTGGGCGTGCCGCCATTTTGCATTCCTGCCAGCGTGCTGGTCTCAGCGTGTGGTCTCCACACCAGCAGCAGCAGCCACCGGTGACTTGTTGGGGATGCCACTTTGTGGGCTGCCCCTGAATCAGCAGCTCTGGGGGAGAGGTCCAGCAGTCATGTTTTCACAAGCCCTCCAGGCGCCTGGATGACGGTCAAGGTGGAGAAGCCCTGCCCTGATGGACTAAGGATCTAGGCCTGAGGGTCCATCACGGGGCCATTAGCCACATGTAGCCACTGAGCACTTGACGTGTGGCTGGTGTGACCAAGAAACTGGACTTCAAATTTTACTGAATTGCAATTGTTTTAAATTTAAAAACTGATACTCCGTTTGGTTATTGGAGGCATTTAAACATCTTTGGTGGAACAGCTTGGATATGTGAACCTACTCTTTCAACTGTAAACGTTATGAAATCAAAATACAGATCACGGAGTTTTGGAGAAAGTTTAATGTCTGGACTGAGAGGTGCTGCAAATATAAAATACACGCTGGATTTCCAAGATTTAGCTCAAAAAAAAGAAGGTGAAAGATCTTGTTAACAATTTTTTTGTGCTGACTGCATGTGAAATGATAGCGTTTTGGGTTAAATAAACTAGATCATTAAAATGAGTTTCACCTCCTTCTTGACCTTTTCTAACGTGGCTACTAGAAAACTTAGAACTATACGTGTGGCTTGGATCGCATCTCTACTGGACACGGCCGCTGTAGGTACGGAGCATCGGCGGCTTGTAGCACCAGAGAGAGACCCCCAGACCCTCTGTGCCTCCTCATGGCTGACACACCACCAACTGGGATGCACCTTTCCAAAAAAAACCCAAGGAATCGGAACCCGATTAAGCCTGGAGATCCCAACTATTAGGTTGATCCAAGAGGAACTGCTGTTTGGGTAGGTCAAAAAGGGTCAAATGTCAGCAATTTCCCATGGTTTAATCTACTACTGGAGTCCTTGGGTGGTGGGCTAACTGAAAGGTTGGAGGTTCGAATCTACCCAGAGATGCTTTGAAAGAAGGTCCTGACGATCTGCTTCCAAAAAGTCACAGCCATTGGAAATCCTATGGAGCGCAGTTCTACTCTGACACATACAGGGTCACCATGAGTCAGAGTCAAGTCGACCACAACTGGTTTTAACCTAATACCTATTTCTAGGGAATTCAGGGGGACAGACGGACATGTTAAATGATATGGTGTTATGGATTGAATTATGTCCCTCTCAAAACATGTGTTGTCAATTCTGTTGGAAACCCTGGTGGTGCAGTGGTTAAGAGCTACAGCTGCTAACCAAAAGGTCAGCAGTTCGAATTCATCAGGCGCTCCTTGAAACTCTGTGGGGCAGTTCTACTCCGTCCTATAGGGTCGCTAGGAGTTGGAATCACTCAGTGGCAATAGGTTTGGTTTGTTTTTTTTTTTTTAAACACCTGTGATTGGGAGCCCTGGTGGCACAGTGGTTACGTGTTTGGCACAGCGGTTAAAGGTCACCAGTCTGAATCCACCAGGCGCTCCTTGGAAACCCTGCGGGGCAGTTCTACTCTGTCCTATAGGGTCACTATGAGTCAGAGTTGACTCGACGGCAATGGGTTTGGTTTTTATACCTGTGGTTATAATCCCATTTGGTAACAGGTTTTCTTTGCTATGTTAATTAGCCAGGATTAATGTATGGTGTGTCTTAAATCAATCTCTTGAGATATAAAAGAGCAGACTGCGCAAGCAAGCGGGCAAGTGAGCACAGATGGGGGAAGATAGATGCCACGGGAGATCTCCAAGGAACCAAGAAACAGAAGCTGAAAAGAGACAAGGACCTTCCCCCAGAGCCGATAGAGGGATAGCCTTCCCCTAGACCTGAGGTCCTGAATTTGGACTTCTAGCCTCCTAAACTGTGAGAAAATACATTTCTGTTTGTTAAAGCCGCCCACTTGTGGTATTTCTGTTATAGCAACACTAGATAACTTAGAATTATAAATAAATACAGGGGAAGCGAGACCCTGGGTTAGGATACTCCTGCGTCGGGCGGGGGTGGGCGGTGGTGCTCTAGGGTGTGGGCGGTACCGGAGGGCAGGCTGATGTGGCTGCCGCCTTCCCGCAGCTTCAGCAGGCGGCTACGCTTGAAGTTGCCCTTGCGCTTGCGGACCCTGGGCTTCTCCTGGCTCAGCTGGCACATGAGCAAGTGCAGCTCCCGCTCCACGATGTCCATCTCGCGCTCTGCCAGCTCCTGCTCCCGCCGCCGCAGCTGCTCCTCCTGGAAGCGCTGCTCCTGCGCCGCCCGCAGCAGCTCCTCCTCTCGGCTCCGGAGCTCCTGAGGAGAAGCAGTGGATGGGACTCGGGTGGGGGTGGGGGTGGGGGTGGCGTCGAGCTACTCGGGCCCCTGGGAATGGGCCCGGGGCTGCAGGGTCCGGTTGGTGCTCTGCACAAGGACACCCTCTTTTATTTTTACTTTTCAACTCTTCATTTAGGAAAACCTCAAACATCCACAAGAGCAGAGAGAAAGAATAGTGAATTCCCCCTCCCCCCCATATACCCATCATCTAACTTCAACAATTATCTACACTTTGCCAATCTTGTTTCATTTATCCCTTTCTTCTTCCTTCCCTCCCTTCCTTCATTTCTGCTGTAATGTTTTAAAGCCAGTCCCAGACATCATGCAGTATCACCTGTAAGTACTTCAGTGCAAGGTGCCTTTTTCTTATTAATCCAACAGGAGGTTGCCATTTCTTAATATGCAAAAATCTCATTGGCCTTGCATGGACTCAGAGGCTGGGGCTCAGGGGAAGGGACTCTGACCCTCCCAAGGCACCAGAACTCAGGGATCTTGCTCTCTGCCTCACCTTCTCCTTGGTCCGGAGGTCATCGAACATGTGCTGAATCTCCAGCTTCCAGTCTTCTTGCAGCGAGTGGAAGGACTCCAGTGGCATCTGGAACAGGGCTGACTGTTCGATGACTTCAAGCCGCTTCAAGATGCTGCCAAAGTCTGGCCGCCCATGGGGGTCTGGGTCCCAGCATTCTGGGGTGGGGGTGGGGGTTGTAAGAGACCATGCTCTGGGGGATCAGCCTGCTCAGCAGAAGGTAAGACCTCAGGGAACTGTGGACAAACTGCTTCCATGGAACTAGGGGAGGGACCCAAAGCCAAACTCCTGGCAATACTATTTCACTCAGCAGAAAGCCAGGGACCTACTCCCTCAGGAGGGACTGGTAGTAGAATCAAAGATCAGGGGGAACCTAGGGCCAATAACTCCTAATAAGCTGCCCTCAAGAGCTGTGGGCCTAGCCAGAACAAAGGTCTGGGGGACCACAGAGCCAACTGCGGGGTGAGACTCTTCATGGTCTGATGGGTTCCAGCCCCTTCTCCCTCAATCCTGGGCCCACTGGTATGGCTGGGTGTGAAGATGACAGTTCTGGGTCCGAGGGCCCCTGTCACCCCAAGCTGAGCCTACATCTCCACGGGGCCCTGGCTCACCCTCCAGTAGGCGGGCAAAGGGCTCGGGGCACGTGGAGGGGATGGGCAGCGTCAGCTTGTTCATAGCCACACCATATGCCACGGCCAAAGCGTCGATCTCACGGTAGGGGACCTCACCCGTCAGCAGCTCCCAGAGCAGCACTCCAAAGCTGCAGGTGGACGACAGGGAGGGTGATGCTCAGCCCACCTTAATCCTTACCTGCCCTTCAGCCTTGCCCCCCTCCCACGGCAAGCCTCTCATACCCCAAAACCCACCCCTAGTGGATGAGGCCACAAGAACCTGATTTGACCTCCAATGGCCAATGGGGCGGAGCTGGTTCTCTGATATCTCTCCTTTGCTGTCTCTCTTCCCTCACCCCTGCCTGAAAACCTTTGGTAGTCCCCTACGCCTACCGGGCAGACCCACCCTTCTTAGCCCTGACCTCTGATGACCCTTGCAGCCTTGCCTCTAAACACTCTCAGCCCTCATACCAATCCCTACTCCATCTTGCAGCCAAACTGAACAGTTGAACAAACCCTATCCTTCCTAACCTCTGGTCTTTGCACATGCTGTTCCCTTTGTCTAGAATAAGTTCTTCAAGTCTCAACTCAGGTGCCCCCTCTGCCACGAAGCCTTAATTCCACAGCCTCCAAAGCTAGGTTAGAGGCCCCTCCTTTGTATTCCCACAGAACCTGCGGCCCTCACCTCTAGAAACATGTTAATGCTATTTAACATTTATTACCCACTTATTGCAGGTGAGGCACTGTGCTAGTGATTCTCCTAAGAGCCTGTGAGGCAGAAGGTATCGTGCGGCCCCATTCTGTCTGCTGAGCACGTGTGGGCTCAGAGAGGTTAAGCTGCTCGCCCAAGGTCACACAGCTAGTAAGTGGCAGAGCCACATCTGGACTCAGGGCTACCTGCTGCCCAGGTCCGAGCCCTGAAAGGCTACACAATACTAGAGCGTGCATCATTGTGCTACAATCACCGCCTGTCTGTCTTCCCCAGTAAACTGTGCCTTCTTCAGACCCGGTTCACCCTTTTGTGCTGTGCCTGACACGTAGTAGATTCCTGTTCTCCCCCAACGTCTGCCGATTCATTCAGTCCACATCTACTTATTGAGCACCTACTGCATGCCAGGCCCTGTTCTGGGCACTGGGGATATGGCAGCGAACAAGACAGATGCAACCCCTGCATAACGCGGCTGACGCTCTCCCCTTCTTCCTCGCTAACAGCACTGGTGAATCTGTGCGGGCGGGCGTATGCTGCCAGAAGGAATTTCCCATCCTTCTTTGCAGCTACAGTTCTGGCCATTGGGATGCAGGAGGATGTGCAGTGTTCACCCAACCTCTAGGAAGTGTCCTTAGAGAGAAGGGGTGCTCTTTTCTCCTTCCTGCTGGTTGGAGCGTGAACATAAAAGCTGGAGCTCCAGCTGCCATTTTGGAACGTGAAGTGACCTTGGGGATCAAGGCCACATAGGGCAGAACAAAATAGCACTGATTTGCACCTGGAGGTGGTATGTCCCCCACCTCTCCCATGTCCCTGGAAGCCTGCGGGACATTCTGTTTGTGATTGGGAGTGCTACAGGTGTTGGTGGCTGGAGCCATGGACACTTGGCGTCCTGAGAAGCCCAGGGCCACACAAGGAGGGATTATCCTCCTCAAATGTCAACCACACCCCCATGCAGGAACCTGACTAGAAGGAGCCTGAATCCCTGACACCAGGAGCACCAGGTCAATCCTGGGCTTTACACGAGAGAAAAAACACCAGTCTTGTTGTTTTGGGTTTCCTGCTCCTTCCTGCTGATGTACGGCCCCAATAAACATTTGGTACTAAAAATGGAGGCTGGCTGTAAAGCTCTTTCTCCCAAAGGGCTGTTCTGCTCTAGGATGAGCCGGAAACCCCCTGCTGGATTTGTCTCTGCCCCCAACTTGTTCATCTGTTGCATGGTCCCTCTGGAGCCTTGGCTGGGGATTGATGGGAACGG